CAAAAAAATCTTTAAAAAAGTAGTAAAGAAGGCAAAAATAATTGCAAATGGTGACTACATAGAAAAGTCTGAAAATAAGTCTAAAGCTGCTTGGCAAGTTGTTAATAAAGAACTTGGTCACGTAAAAAACAAAACTGATGGCAAATTATTTTTAATTAATAACGACAAAGATATATGTAAACCTCAGGATATAACTAGAATATTTAACACTTTCTTTGCCGAAACAGCTTTGAACATTAATGTACCAAAGGCCACTGTGCAAGGAGTTCATGAATCTGTTCGAGACTATTGTAGAGATGAAGGAATTTCGTTGTGTAATCTGCAGCAGATTAGTAAGGGTGAAGTGAAAAAAATTATTCTTTCCCTAAAAAACAAAACTTCTGTGGGTTGGGATGAAGTACCGATCAAATTAATTAAAGCTGCTGTAAATTTAATTTCTGAACCCTTATCTATTATCATAAATCAGTGTTTAACAAATGGAATTTTCCCAGACAAACTTAAATACTCACAAATAACTCCAATTTTCAAAAAAGGCTCTAGGTCAGATATCAACAATTACCGTCCAATATCAGTTTTAAGCAATTTTTCTAAAGTCTTTGAAAAAGTTATAAATAACCAATTAGTTTGTTTCTTTGAACATAATAATCTGTTTTATCAAAATCAATTTGGTTTCAGGAAAAACCTTGGAACAAATACAGCTCTTGTACACTTTATTAATGAAGTATCGGAGGCTTTGGATGGGTCAAGGAGTGCAGCTGGTGTCTTCTGTGATCTATCCAAGGCCTTTGATTGTGTTGATCATTCGCTTTTGCTTCAAAAACTACATGACTATGGAATTTCAGGAAGTTGTCTTTCCCTAATTAGATCATACCTTTCAGATCGGAAACAAAGAACTGTAATTTCTGATGAAGGAACTAGGCATTTCTCACATTGGAAATGTATAAAGCTTGGGGTGCCTCAAGGCTCCATTTTAGGTCCCCTTTTCTTTTTAATCTACATAAATGACCTCCCTAAAGCTATTAATAGAGATTTGATTCTGTTTGCTGACGATACTACTGCAATCATTAAAGAAAATAGTAGAGAAGAGCTTCTTACATCTCTCACAGAAGTTATGAAAGAAATGGAAAATTGGTTTAACTAAATGTGGATAAAACCCAAATTATAAAATTTTCAGCCAGAAATGAAAGAGAATTAAATAGTTTTTCCAATTTAGTCCATACAAATAAATTCCTAGGCATTCATCTAGATGAAAATATTAACTGGAAGGTGCATCTAGATGCTATAAAGAAAAAAATTAGATCTGCAATCATCTGTCTTTGTCCACTTGAGAGAATGTGTCACCATTGAAGTACTTAAAATGGTTTATCATGCCTATGTAGAATCCATCTTGAGGTATGGTGTGATTTTGTGGGGACAGGCAACTGATGCAAAAACTATTTTCAGACTTCAGAAAAGAATCATCCGAATTATGACTAATTCCCACCCCAGAAGTCCTTGTAAATTACATTTTCAAAATTTAAAAATCCAAACACTCACAGGACTATACATATTTGAATTATTAAACTACATACACAATATAAAAAATAACCTCCCGGATTCATTCAAATTCACACACAACTATAGTACAAGAAACGAAACAATTTTCAGATTACCAAATCACCGTTTGACCTTATTTGAAAAAAGTCCTTTGTATGCAGGTTTAAAAATGTATAATAAACTACCGGTATATTATAAAATAATGAGTTCAAACAAGTTTCAAGAAACATTGAAAAATGGACTCCTTGAACGTGCGTTTTATAAAATAGAAGAATTTTATAACCATCCCTTGAGTTAATTTTTTGTTTTTAATTTGCTTAACTACTGTACTGTATTAACATTATTTGGCTAGGTATTTTTTCCTGTTACTTTGTACTTTGTATTTTTCTAGTCTAGGCTCAATTTTGACAATGCACCTGTTCTATATGTTATCACATCTAAAAGAATGTTATGTGCAAATAAATAATGTCTAAATGTCTAAATGTCTATAGACATTTTAAAATTCATTAAACTATGACGATTGCATTAATGAATTTTAAAACACACTGTAGACTACGGCCATATTCTCTTAAAAGCAGTTGGGTGACTTTCTACAGCCTGTTTTAACGTCTAGAACTGTGTGGAAAACTTCCGATTTCCCCATTTATTTGTCATGAATAAGTAGAAATTTTTAAAACTAACTATGACGATTGCATTTATAAATCTCAAAACATATTGTAGGCTACGGTCATATTTCCCTAACAGCTGTTTACTAACTTTCTAAAGCCATTTTTAATGTTTATATCTGTGTCCAACTGTCCAAAAACCTCCCATTTCGGCCATTTCACCTGTGTTTTTTGTCTTTGTCATGAGCAAGTAGACATTTTAAAAATCAAACTATGACGAACTTGCATTCATGAATTTCGAAACGTAGGCCTATTGTAGATTACGAATCCATATCTCCTAAAAGCAATTTGGTGACTTTATAAAGCCATTTCTAACGTCTAGAACTATGCCCAATTGTCCTAAAACCTTCCATTTCACCTGTTATATGTCATGAAAGCAAGTAGACACTTTTTTAACCTTTACGTTTTTCTCCATTTCATATATCTGTCACAATTATATAGTATCGAATTCAGTAATAGCATTGACTATATAAACTTTAACACTAGTGTTTATATATTCAATGGTAATGACAATTTGACAACTATGGAACATCAGGAAATCAGCTGTTTCCCCGTCCTCGCTCGCGCGCTCGGCACCCTCATTTGCCCTAGCATGTCAACAGCTGACTGCTGTAAAGGTTGGATGATGCGTACAACACTTTCCATAGCGTAATATTGTTTTATTCGTTGTGCTATATTGTCCAAAAAGTTTATCTATGTGGAACTTAATACTACTCCTGTCATCGCTTATTAAGTTTAATAAAAACTACATTGATGTCTGTTTTATGACATTGCGTTACGGACAAAATGTACGTTTAAATTTTATTTTTCCAAGGCCAAGGGGGGGGGGCTTTAGCCCCTGTAGCCCCCCCCCTTGGAACCGCCACTGACAGCTGGTTGCTTTATCCCTTAGGTTACTAACAAACTCTGAAATTGATTGATTGTCAGTTTGATAGATCGATTGAAACTGGTGCTGTGAAACAAGTACATTTCTTTTAGGTTCTGGATGTTTTCTGGATGTTCTCTTAGAATTTTTACCAGGTCATCGTAAGTTAATTCGTTCGGATTATCGGATTATTTGGTGCAGATAAGGATGAAACTATTTTTAAATTGCTTGTTCCAATTGAGTTCAAGAGCAATTTAGCACAGTAATCTTTGTTAGATGCAATATTTTTCATTTGAATGTAATTTTCAAAGCGTTGATAATTATTTGAAAAAGTTTCCTTTTGATGGTCAAAAATTTCAAAGTTGGGCACATAAGAATGAGTTAAGTTTGTTTTGGATTGATCAGTATCACCATGTGGCTTTACGTTAGAACGTTGTGTTGAAAGTTGACTTACCAATGTTGTTATCATGGCTTGTTGCATTTCCAAAAATTGCTTGAATTGTTCTGGATCTATATTGATGAGATTATAGTTGAAATGTTTCTAATTGATATTAGAAAATGCAGCTAGATGAAAAAAATGGTTGATAGTCTTGGCCTAGATTGCTTACAGGTAATGTTCATGCAGTAAAAGTCACTCACTTGAGGTTTACTCGTCGCCAATCAACTTGTCGTGGCCTTGTGTATGCACGTGTATTTTGTTGACTTTGATAATTGAAAAATGTAGCTTCATTTGAAAAGATTTATTTTACAATACATAATTGATTGATAAAGCCTTCAAACTCCGTATATTGGGGTTTCACCGTAATCACACGAATAAAACAAACTACAGAGTATGCAGTAGATGAACTGCATTAATTTTTTTAATAAATATCTGATTCAGCCAGAACTGCATCCTTCAAGGTATTCCAATCTAAATTTTGTGAATAGTTGATAAGCAATCCTTTCTATGGCATCCATGAATTTCTTAAAACAAAAGTTGATATTGAATTTTGATGTGTATCTACATGATCAATATTCTCTAATCTCTAGACATGACATATTTTAATTAACTAAGTATTTTGTAGACTTTGTATTTTTTTTGTTAATTTAAAATGTTTTGTATGTGTTTTGACTATGTCTATTCCTTTGTACAAAGAAAGGTCAGTGGCAATAAATCTCTTGATCCTTGAACATCCTGTACCTACAAGTGTACCAAATTTGGCTTTATACCCGATTTTTTCCTCTGTTTTGTCTTTTTTTGTCTTCGCTGCCAGAATTTGATCAGGACTATTTAAGATAATGGGTAACATTTCGCTGCGACTAATTACGATAATAGGTAACATCAACTGCTGATTAACTAAAAAATCAGCTGTTTTAGTTGTTAGTGACCCAATGAGAGCAAATATTGATGTACGTACAGTCGGTCGTACACAGTATCTTAAAAACAAGTTTTCTCTCTTATTTAATTCATCAACCAATTTTCTTAAAATAGGGTATCATTAGAATAATTGTAAGACAATTGTCTAAATAAAACATTACAACAGTATTTTTGTTTACCTATGTAGCATTATTTCTGTTATCTCAGATATTTTAAATTGCCACCATTTTTAACTAAACATAATAAAAAATAATATTTTTTCTCAGAATAGGTCTTTTACGTAATTAATCTAAGTACCAAATTTCATCTCAATTCAAAAACCCATTTACAAATAAAAAATAGTTTTCTGAGAAAAACATTGTAGCTATTCAAGTAACTTTTTGGAAATTTTTAGTTTGTCTTTGGCTTAGGAATGGTACATTAAAAGATCGGTTCAAAGACAGCCTGTATATTACAAATCCTATACATAAATCATTGTACCTGTTAATGGTCGGTAACTTATTAGCACTTGTTTTAATAATTCACATGGATTTTTTCAACATTACTTTATTCAAAAGATGAGGTAAAAAGGTCATACCTGGGTGGTACCCCACTGGGGGGCCACGGTGAGGTAGCAATAGGACTCACAGGCCCCACCACCCCCACTGGCTACTCCATGCTCTAGACAGTGGTGGAGATGTGTCTCTATCTCACTCAGAGCACTCACACTAGTCTCCCACTGCAAATAAACACATTCAAGTAATAAAGGCAAGGACAGAAGTTGTAGGACTCACAGACCCCCCCCCCCCCCCACCCACTGGCTACTCCATGCTCTAGACAGTGGTGGAGATGTGTCTCAATCTCACTCAGAGCACTCACAATAGTCTCCCACTGCAAATAAACACATTCAAGTAATAAAGGCAAGGACAGAAGTTGTAGGACTCACAGCCCCCCCCCCCCACCCACTGGCTACTCCATGCTCTAGACAGTGGTGGAGATGTGTCTCTATCTCACTCAGACCACTCACAATAGTCTCCCACTGCAAATAAACACATTCAAGTAATAAAGGCAAGGACAGAAGTTGTAGGACTCACAGCCCCCCCCCCCACCCACTGGCTACTCCATGCTCTAGACAGTGGTGGAGATGTGTCTCTATCTCACTCAGAGCACTCACAATAGTCTCACACTGCAAATAAACACATTCAAGTAATAAAGGCAAGGACAGAAGTTGTAGGACTCACAGCCCCCCCCCCCCCACCCACTGGCTACTCCATGCTCTAGACAGTGGTGGAGATGTGTCTCTATCTCACTCAGAGCACTCACAATAGTCTCACACTGCAAATAAACACATTCAAGTAATAAAGGCAAGGACAGAAGTTGTAGGACTCACAGCCCCCCCCCCCCCACCCACTGGCTACTCCATGCTCTAGACAGTGGTGGAGATGTGTCTCTATCTCACTCAGAGCACTCACAATAGTCTCCCACTGCAAATAAACACATTCAAGTAATAAAGGCAAGGACAGAAGTTGTAGGACTCACAGCCCCCCCCCCCCCACCCTTGGCTACTCCATGCTCTAGACAGTGGTGGAGATGTGTCTCTATCTCACTCAGAGCACTCACAATAGTCTCCCACTGCAAATAAACACATTCAAGTAATAAAGGCAAGGACAGAAGTTGTAGGACTCACAGCCCCCCCCCCCCCACCCACTGGCTACTCCATGCTCTAGACAGTGGTGGAGATGTGTCTCTATCTCACTCAGACCACTCACAATAGTCTCCCACTGCAAATAAACACATTCAAGTAATAAAGGCAAGGACAGAAGTTGTAGGACTCACAGCCCCCCCCCCCCCACCCACTGGATACTCCATGCTCTAGACAGTGGTGGAGATGTGTCTCTATCTCACTCAGAGCACTCACAATAGTCTCCCACTGCAAATAAACACATTCAAGTAATAAAGGCAAGGACAGAAGTTGTAGGACTCACAGGCCCCACCACCCCACTGGCTACTCCATGCTCTAGACAGTGGTAGAGATGTGTCTCAATCTCAGTCAGAGCACTCACACTAGTCTCCTATTAAATACAAATTAATACAAAATATATGAGCACAACTCTTGATACATGTTTATTTCTTAATAATGAAAGATAAACATTGAATCATTTACAATGTAAAATTATTCCAGTCATATGAATAATATTAAAAAAAAGATAGATTTTTGGGATATATAACATCTCCCATTACAAATAAACACATTCAAGTAATAAAGGCAAGGACAGAAGTTGTAGGACTCACAGGCCCCCCCCCCCACTGGCTACTCCATGCTCTAGACAGTGGTGGAGATGTGTCTCTATCTCACTCAGAGCACTCACAATAGTCTCCCACTGCAAATAAACACATTCAAGTAATACATTCAAGTAAACATTGAATAATTTACAATGTGAAATTATTCCAGTCATATGATTAATATTAAAATAAAAGATAGATTTTTGGGATATATAACATCTCCCATTGCAAATAAACACATTCAAGTAATAAAGGCAAGAACAGAAGTTGGAGGACTCACAGGCCCCACCACCCCACTGGCTACTCCATGCTCTAGACAGTGGTGGAGATGTGTCTCAATCTCACTCAGAGCACTCACACTAGTCTCCCACTACAAATAAACACATTCAAGTAATAAAGGCAAGAACAGTAGTTGGAGGACTCACAGGCCCCACCACCCCACTGGCTACTCCATGCTCTAGACAGTGGTAGAGATGTGTCTCAATCTCACTCACAGCACTCACAATAGTCTCCCACTGCAAATAAACACATTCAAGTAATAAAGGCAAGAACAGTAGTTGTAGGACTCACAGGCCCCACCACCCCACTGGCTACTCCATGCTCTAGACAGTGGTAGAGATGTGTCTCAATCTCACTCAGAGCACTCACACTAGTCTCCCACTGCAAATAAACACATTCAAGTAATAAAGGCAAGAACAGTAGTTGTAGGACTCACAGGCCCCACCACCCCACTGGCTACTCCATGCTCTAGACAGTGGTAGAGATGTGTCTCAATCTCACTCAGAGCACTCACACTAGTCTCCCACTGCAAATAAACACATTCAAGTAATAAAGGCAAGAACAGTAGTTGTAGGACTCACAGGCCCCACCACCCCACTGGCTACTCCATGCTCTAGACAGTGGTAGAGATGTGTCTCAATCTCACTCAGAGCACTCACAATAGTCTCCCACTGCAAATAAACACATTCAAGTAATAAAGGCAAGGACAGAAGTTGGAGGACTCACAGGCCCCACCACTCCACTGACATGTGATGAACAAGACCCAAAACTTTGAGATTTGTTTATCTCGAAGCTTTGGGCGGGATTGAAATACTAACGGGATATTTTCGATTAGGATGCATTCCACGACATCCAAGTGCCACAACGTCCAAAATACTATAAATATTTCTGAATATAAAAAGTAGATATAATTTTTTTTTAAACTTTCCATTAAATCTCGTCCCAAAAAACACAGCCACGGAGATCAGGGCGGCAACCCTAGGTTCGGCCCTGGGTTAGTAAATACATGGCATTGGCGCAAATTGACTGTATTTTACTCACCAGAGAATGGATCTGATCAGGGTCCTGGCTAGTGGTGGAGTCCAAGAGCAACAGGAGAGTCATGTCTTGGTACCCACAGACGTACAACACGTTTTCTTCCACAGGTTCAAGGTCTCGTTTCTCCCTTTCTCTCTCGGCCCGGGACTTTCTAAATGGTTGTGTTGGTACCAGAGGTGTGGCAGGGTTGGCGGCCTTGTCCGCAGGTGTGGGAATCTCCCCCACTCTCTGCTCCATTGCCAACAGACTCAGCTTGGCCATTAATGGAGTCAATGGAATCGAGATATTTGGTTTTTTTGATCTCAGTTCAATCATTGGGACCATATCTGTTAGGATGTCAAACGCAATTACAATCTATGCCAATATATAATAGACAATTTACTGTATTGTAAATATTTAAACAACTATGATGATTGTTTTGAAAAATTGAAAAGAGTTAGATGTTGATTTGAGTTTGCTACAAGTGAAACAGTCCCTCATGGCTTTGTTCTGTTTTGTAGATTTTAGTTGTTAAAGGAAAGGCATAAATAAATTATTACATCTCATAACATTTTAGAAAAATAATCCTTATAAATGTAGGCCTAAGACAATCCTTTCAATAACTAAAAACTAAAAAGTAACATGCGTTGAAAACAATGAAAACATCATATAGCTTCGTTTATTTAGAGTTGGTCAACACATAAACCATAAAGAATTATAAGTAATACCAAACATCAATCAAAACCACACCCATTCAATAGATAATAATTATTTTCAAAATAAAACTAGTATTTTTAACAATGAAGTACAACAATAACAAATCTAGTTGGAAAACAGATGACATCTAGAAGGATTTAAGAAAAATAGATAGATCAAACAAGATAATTCAAACAATATATTGAACCCCTTGAGTGCTACAAATCCTTTAAAATATAATTTTAATTACTACTTGATGGAATGGCTAACCCATCAAATCATTCAAATCACCATTGAAAACACTACAATTAAGTATCACTAGTGGTTCAATATTTCATGATCATCATGTACTAACCCATTAAAGCATAACTGTTTTTTAATATCCAAAATAGGCACTCAGGAGGTTATAAAAGATTTTTTGAAAAGGGAGAGTGTTCAGCAAGCTTGCTTGAGCTTGAAAGAATTGAAGTCCATAGGCTAATAGATACCTAAGGAAGGCAAAAAATAACATTGATTTCTTCCTAGTACAGTACATCTTCAGAGAGTTGGTAAAAAGAAATTTACAACAAAATATCCGTGTTATATTTTGTAAACTTTTTCTTATATTCAACAGCCCCTTGACTCTAATTTTCCCAAGTAAGCTAGCTGAACTCTATTCCTTTTCATAAAATTACTCGTTAGTTTAAGAGAAATGGAGAGCAGAGATCACACAGATAAGGGGATTTTAACAAGACAGTCTGCAAGTTGCTGAAACAGAGACATGTTTTAGAGTCATGCAGGCAGGCCATGCTGAGTGTGACATGCAGCTTTGCAGTACCCTGGGTGTCAGTGTTGGACGGGCCTAGTGGCAGGTTGAGTGCTCGTCTCACACGTTCCTTCTTGCTCCGAGTATTCTCGCCAAAACCCAAGGCGAAACTCTTAGGTCGAGGCTCTAACAACCAGTACAGGTTAAGGGTCTAAGGTATAGCTGTGCTGTAATGTTACTATTGAGTTGGTAAATGATTCAAATGTGTTATTATATCAAAATAAAAGCAGGGATGTGTTGATTACAATTCACTACTCCATTTTACAATATTTTACATTGAAAAATTATTCGTATTCTCTTCAAGCTCTCTTCTTTTAAGGTTCGTATTTTCTTTTCTTTGTAGATTGTGCCTTTGTATAAATGAATGAAGATAAGAATTTTTATAAAAATAATTTTTAAATAAATTCATTGGTACTTGTAGATAATGGACGGCTTGAACTAATGGTTTTAAACCTTAGAACTTTTCATTTCAGATCCAGCCATTTAGCTTAGCTTTTTGATCAAATTTGGAGAAATACCAATAGAGTAGAGCAGACCCTATTGTATTTTTAATTGTTGTGCATATTCAAAAACTTGTTTATTAAGTTAGTAGGTGATGTAATTTATGAGATAAATAAATAAAGGTCCTTAAAATAGTCATGTCTCTAACAGTTTTAAATATAAATCACATATCTGTTCTATTTGAAAAGCAGGGGTGCTGCAGCTTGGACACATACAGGAGGTCCCGTTAGTGAACAGGCAAATAACGGGAAATTGTTCTCTATGGGCCAAAAAAAAAAAAAACAAATCAAGAATTAGAGATTTTCCAAAATTGCTTTGTTAACAATATATCGGCCTTTTTGTAATTTTACAAAAAATGTTTTATCTTTGAATTGTTCTAACTGATATTTATGAACCTTGGTATGGTAAAAATGATCTAAGTTAGAACAACAAATTAATTTTGACTCCAAGGGAAGCAGACAAACCCAGCCATCAAAAACTGTGACACTCCCATGAATATACACCACACAAACCAGACATAACAGCCTAATGTCTTAACCAGAACAAAGCCCAAACATTATAAAAGTCCAGCCAGAAATCCATAGGCATCTAAATGGAACTGAACCAGAGCAACCTTCACCTAAAAACCAAAGACTACCAACTCTCAATCTGGAAAGAAACATGAATCTTACGGATAAAGACCCACACTCCATAGATACTATAGACACTCTTGAGATAAACATGCCCTCTAACATGAGTTCTGCTCAAATAACAAACCTATGTAGGTCAGACGCTATGATCCCTTTTTTTAGGAACAGGACATCGAAAATGGAGGAGAAACAAACACACACCATTCATCCAAAATACACGAATTTTATGGAACTCCATTCTGCCGAAAATCGATTAACCCCAATCTCAATATCCCAAAACCACCCAACTTCTATCAACATTATATCACAACTGGTTCATAACCAGACCATTTCTGTAACAAAACCTAAGACAAAAGAACAGGCCACAAACTGCTCAAAAGGCAAAAAAATTAAAGCTGGCAGAAAAAAATCCAAAATAACTCTAATGCATAAAAACATAAGGGGGTTGATCAAATAAAGTTGATAGATTAAGCCACACACTATCAACCATTCTGCCTACCATATTGATTCTTACTGAACACGGATTAAACTCAGAAGCCCTGGCCAACACAAGACTCCCAGGATACAGCCTGATAGCTTGGGTCGATCATGGTTTTGCTGCGATCATAAAAGACGATGTTGCTGTGACCGCAGAAGATATTTACGATTTTGATGCTACCGCAAGATGCTTACAATTTTGCCGTGACTGTGGCAGGTGTCATCGATTTCACCGTGACCACGGGAAATGTTTTTGATTTTCCCGTCACCGTGGAAGGTGTTCTCGATATCTCCGTGATTGCAGGAGGTGATCTCAATTTCAACTTGACCATGGGAAACTTTGAGTCACTGTGGAAGGTATTCACAATTTAACATTGACCATAGAAGATGTGCATGATTTTGCTGTGATCACAGAAGATATTCTCGTATTGGCTGTGACCACAGAAGACGTTCACAATTTTGCCACTACAAGAGATAATGATTCAACAGCCGGTTTTTCATGCGCTTACAGAGATTTGTGAGGGTTTACGCAAGCAAATTCAACACTTGGCTTTAGGTGAAACCTTGTAAATTCGTCCTAGATCCATATTACACAAAAATGGCACTAAAATCAGGGTGACCTGGTTACATATTACAATTCACGCATAATTCCCAGTTTTTTTCTTACTCGTAAAAAAAGTTTACAGTATTTTTGAACGTGCTAAAAATTTACCTTTTGGCTGTTCTGACCATGGTACAATGCGTGGTACAATGACCTCCTCGACGTAATATCGTCATAGTGGGATATGAGAGGTTCTACTGTACGTCGATGTGCAATCAAAATAACATGATACTCACTTTTTTCTTTTGTTGTTTCCTGTGAAAGCTGTCTGTAATGTCTTGTAACGCGAGTGTCATAGAGAGCTTGTGAGGCTGGGAGTCCGTTTCGTCGAAAAAGTGGAAAGGAAGGATCAGCTATTGTGTTGCAATACTTCATAACTGTTTGTTTCTCTTCTTCTTCACGAACTGAATTTGCCACTCCTAAACTGAGATACCTAAAGTTTAAAAAGAAGGGTATTAGCTAGGGGTCTGCGGTACAGAAAACTTAAGGTTGGTACGGTACAATATTTTGTACCTCGGTTATCGGTACAAAATCGGGATGGTACGTGGCTACCAGTAGTTTTGCGGTTTTCTCCTCAGAATTGTATTGAAACCATTATTTGTAATTTAAATACATTGACATTACTATGAAAATGGTTAGTATCCTGCATTTATGGTTTTCTTTTTTTTTCTAACAACAATTACTGTCCCACACATTATTAAAACTTAACTTCTAACAGTGTCAAGAAATAAACAAAGTTAAGATAAAGGCTTCACCTATTTTACTACTAAGTTAAGCCCTTGCCTTGATAATAGGGGTCTGCCAGTCAGACTTTTTTTGGTTTGGGTCGGGCCAAAAATTGTTAATTAACAGATTGTTTTTGTTTTAACGTCAATTTATAGTAATACTTGATAATAAAATATGAAAAAAATTTATTTATGTATATTACCTATATCATTTCATATCTTATTTACAGCTTGGGAATTTCCTCAACTGCATGAAAGAAAAAAATAAAAATATTTGTATCAAGACATTCTTTCCCATTTTTATAACTAACTGTTGAAATAACTAAATAGCTAAATTACAACAAGTTTTGAATGGAACTTAATATAAAAATATCATAAACAAATAAATGGACATATCACAATTTTAGGGCCTGTTGACTGGCTTCAAGACTGCAAGAAAGAAGAAAATAAAAATTCTATGTTTCCACCATGCAATATGTATCATTCTCCCTCCCTCCTAACTACCAAAACCTACTACTAACCACCAACCCTACCTACCTACCTACCTACTACTAAGTACAAAACCTCACACTTGCAATAGCATTATTAGTTACATCATCATAAATACATAATTGATCTATTATTGGCATTAGTAGGCCTACAGCTTTACATAAGAATTATTTTTATAGAGCCTTAAATAGTACACACACACATTGATAATGGTATAATTAGTACAGACTGTAAAAATTGCATATCATGTCATACAGTAGTATAGATAGACCTACTGCAAAAGATTAAATCTAAAAACAACAGATATTGATAACTAATAAATAAATAAATGAAAAGAATTAAAAATCTATATACTCAAGTCAAACAATAACACAATTAAGCGTGGGGTGAAAATAGAGAATTCTGTACATTAAATATTTTTGGTTGAGTTTTCGACCACTGGACAACTTCTAGTATATATTATTGTGCACTTGTGATGTTTTAAGGATTGAAAATATGTATCAGTCTTTGACACCTCAAAATTTGAACACACTGCACACACCAAACTACTTACCTTACACAGATTTTATTGTCTTCATTAAAAGGAATGTCGTCAGTAGTACGACATGTGCTGATGTTGTCATTGGTTGGATCGGGAACAACAAATCCAGACGGAGCCACAGACAGCAGTCTAGCTGCTTTACGAGCCTTTACTGCGTCTTTCACTACATCTGGAACTTTTTCCCTCTCCACTTCACCCTCTGCCTCCTCCACAACTGTAGTGAACATCATGGAAACATCTCGCTTCATGCCGAATGTGGAACCTATAGGAGGTTCTTTGTTGTTATTTTTCATCGCACCTTTATCCTGAGAAAAAACACATGATGAAAAACCCATTGCATATTGTTGTAAATAAGAAGAGAATATTTAAGTTATTAATTGGACAATGTTAGACTAAGATAGGAAATTAGTGAACTTTGGACCTTGGGTTCAGAGAAAGGCCCCTCCCCTACTAGAATGAGACGCCGCTTCAGTTCCAGCTGAGATCCAGGTATGGCTAGACGTGTCTATCTGTTCTGATCATAAGATAATAAGATAAGATAGTAAAAATCCTAATACAGTTTAAAGTACTTAAACATATGTTTTCTGGGTTGAAACACATATCAGTAAATAAATTGCATTTCAAAATCCCAGACAAACACTGTAAGTCTACATTTCACAACAAATTAAAACTCTTGCCATAGACTTTGGACACTGCAAGTAGACTTCACTTCTGTTTGCAAATCTGACCTCCGTTATGATGTGTGTTTCATGTCTTGTTTTTTTTTCATATGCTGTTGTAAAAAAATGTAGTTTTTTTTTATTTTAAAGGTGATTTTACAATGTGAGCTTTACTTTTAATATATTATGTTTTTGCTTACGTTACGTTAATTGAAATTACATTAGGTTAACTGAAAGTCCAAATTATTTACAAACAAGTTTACTAGGAACACAAACCACACAGTAATGGCAAAAAAAAACCAAAATGGCTAAAGTGCACGTGACTGAGAATCCACACATCTCATCAACTTCCACCCGAGCATTGACTGATTATTTTAAGTAGGCTGGACAGGTGAACTCCTTATTGGACACCAATACAGAATCCAAACCCTAATTTCACATTGTAGTCTACATAGACTGCTTGGCCATTGATCAGACTTGACAGTGTACTACACTCACCACTAGCAACACTGATCAAGGACAAGTCCAAGCACACTAGTTTTAAAATTAACTCAAAGGTCCATTCCATCGTTTGATGAATGTCTTACTCCTCACTGTAGAGTTATTCTTATGAGGTTGCAAAACCGAGCCCTAAGGTTTGTTTTCAATCTGAGGAAGTTTGATCATATATCTACCTATCGCAAACAGGCTAAGGTGCTCTCTTTGTGAAAGCAATGTTTTCCACAAACTGTTTTGATTGTTCACAAGACCATGTCTTCTAATTTTCCTTATTTGAAAAGAAAACTTATGCCTCGAACATAAGTTAGGAATCGCTGTACTAGGCAGGACGGCTTGCTTGAAATGCCGAGTGTGGCGTGAGACAGGTAAAAAAAGGGTTCTCATACTTTGGACTCCAGGCATACAATACCCTCCCAAGAAACATGAAAAGACTGTCATGTAATTCGTTTAAAGCCAAATTAAAGCTAGTTTAGTTTCACTTACCACATCTTGTACTGTTTGTAATTATTGTATGTAATTGTATTGTTTATGACTTCAGTTGTCTTGAAAACCAGTTTTTACTGAAGACCTTATATTCAGGTTTCTGTAATGTATACAATAGTTTACCGTAATGTTGTAATTTTTACCATATGTATAATTTTGTTATAAAAAGTTGGCAATATGTTTTGCATTTGTGACCTGACTGCAATCAGGTGACTGTCACGTAATATCGTATGTTTCTGTAATGGAATGACATGTGATTTAGTAATTATTTGTATGTTTACTCATATGACTATGTTTACCAGGGGTTACTATGTTGTTGACTTGTTTTGATGTGAGTTGTTAAGTTATTTGAATGTTGAATAAAAGTTCTTAGAAGAATTTGTTTTATTCTATCTTTACATGGTGGCAGTGTTTAGACTGAAGAAGAATATTTTAAAATGGAATTGACACCAGAATTACTGAAAAATATATTAAACTCTGTTCTTAATACTAAAATGAGTGAAGAGGCTAAATCTAGGCAAGAACCTATGTACCAAGTCAAACCTCCTGATCCTTTCAACTTCCAAGATCCAGCAACATGGTCAAACTGGATAAAGGTATTTGGAATGTTCCGTAAAGCTACTGGGTTGGCTTTAAAATCTGAAGATCAGCAGGTGAACATGTTATTGTACTGCATGGGCCAAGAAGCTGAGGAACTCCTAACGTCACTAGGAATGTCTGAGGAAAAAAGGGTTTCATTTGATGTGGTAGTGAAAACTTTTGATGATTATTTTTCTACCAAGAAAAATATATTTTATCATCGAGCTATGTTTCTACAGAAAGACCAATGTCCAGGCGAGAAGGTTGACTCTTACATTAATGATTTACATAAAATGTCAGAGAAATGTGAATGGTCATGCAGCAATTGTAAGAGTAGACATTTTAATGATGAAATGATACTTCTTAAGCTTACAGGGATGTCTAATAAGAGTTTATCCAAACACCTACAATTAAAAGATGGGATAACGTTGACTGGGGCAGTTCAAGCAGCAAGACAAGCAGAAGCGATGGAACAACAGGCTGCTAACTCGGAAGAGATAAGCAAAACATCAGTCATGGAAACAAGAAAGACGTTTTCATCAAGGTTTGCTAAAACCAGCGACACACAGCAGTTTGGTAAGGCCTCAGCATTTAATCAAAATAGTCAGAAATGTAGTCGGTGTGGTTCAAATCAGTTTCATTCCAAGGAAAAGTGTCCGGCAGTTGATAAAGTTTGTTTCAAATGCGGATTAAAGGGCCATTTTAGTCGGTCATGTAAACGAAAAAGTTTCAATTCAGTAGTTCAGGAGGTTGAATCTGAACCATCATCTAGCAAAGTTAATCCATTTGCTCTGAGTTCTGTTACGATTGATGAAAGGGTGTCAAATATAAGTTCCTCCCAGCCGTTTTATGTAAAACTTTTGGTTAATGAGACTGATTATCTTAACTTCAAAATTGACACTGGTGCTGATGTCAGCTGTATTGGAATTCAACATGCACAGATTTTGAATCTTAAGATTAAAAAAACTAGTATCAAGTTGAAAGGTCCTGATAGTATACCACTTAAAGTAATTGGTAAGTCAATCGTGAGCTTAAAGAAAGATGGTATAGATCATATGGAGGAAGTGTTCATTCTAAGCAGCCAGAAAGAGCCCCTCTTAGGGAGGACAGGGATATTAGCATTTTCATTGCTTAAGGACATTGGTGAAGTAAGTTTAAAAAACGAGTGGGAAGCAAAATATCCAAAGCTTTTTTCAGGTCTAGGAAGGTTTACTGAGCCCTATACGATCAAGTTAAAAACTGATTATAACCCAGTTTCTATTGAGACGCCACGAAGGATCCCTATATCGCTCAGGGATAAAGTAAAGATTGAGCTTGATAAAATGGTAAAAGCTGATGTGATAGCACCTGTCACAGAACCAACAGAGTGGTGCTCTCCCTTGGTTGTTGTCCCTAAAAAGTCCGGCTCAGTAAGGTTGTGTGTTGATTTTACAGCTCTCAACAAATATGTAGAGAGAGAAAGACTAATTTTGCCATCTGTGGATGAGACCTTAGCTCAGATGGCAGGAGCAAAAATATTTTCTAAACTTGACACAAACAGTGGTTTCTGGCAAGTAGGCCTTGACAGTGAAAGTGCCAAGTTGACAACTTTTATAACGCCTTTTGGTAGGTTTTATTTCAAGCGATTACCTTTTGGGATCAGCTCAGCTCCTGAACATTTTCAAAGGAAAATGTTTGCATGTTTGGAAGGTTTAGAAGGTGTTGTAAATTTAACTGATGACATATGTGTGTTTGGTAGTACGAAGGAAGAACACGACAAAAGACTTAACTGTGTTCTCTCTCGTCTATGTGAAACGGGTATCACTTTGAATCGGGAGAAGTGCGTGTTTGAAAAGACAAAGATAACTTTCTTGGGACATTTTATTGAAAATGGCCAGCTTATGCCAGACTCAGAAAAGACCTTGGCTGTGGAGAAGTATCCTGTTCCAAAAAATCAAACCGAGTTGAAACGTTTTCTTGGAATGGTAAACTATTTAATGAAGTTTCTTCCCAACCTTTCAGAACTGACCAAGCCATTAAATGATCTTTCAAAAAGAAATGAATGGTACTGGTACAATCTTCATGAGAAACAGTTCAAGCAGATAAAGGAGTCATTGATTCAGGCTCCCGTTTTACATTTGTATAATCCTGAGAGGAAAACTAGAGTGTGTGCAGATGCATCGAAATTTAGACTTGGAGCCATTTAGGAACAAAATGTGGATGGTCAATGGAAGCCAATACAATATGCATCAAGAACTATGACTAACACAGAATCTCGGTATGCTCAAATTGAAAAGGAGGCTCTTTCCCTAACTTGGGCTTGTGAGAAATTCTGTTCTTTCATTTTGGAAAAGAAATTTGAACTGGTTACTGATCACAAGCCCCTTATCCAAATTTTAGGACAACAGTCTTTGTGTGACCTGACACCTCGGTTGCAGAGATTCATAATGAGACTCATGCCTTTTGATTATGAAATGAGATATGAAACAGGAAAAAGCTTCTTTGTTCCTGATGCACTGTCTAGGGCACCATTGCAGACTGTTTCAACTGCGGAAAGTGATATACTAGATGAAGATGTTGAGGTGTTTGTTAATTCAGTTGTGTCTACCTTACCTTGCTCAGACAGTAGATTAGAAATAATTCGTCAAAGTGTGAAAGAAGATGTTATATGTAACATGTTGAGGAAAGAAATAGAATCAGGTGAGTGGACGGACTTAAAGAATACAGAATTTTTCAGAGAACGAGGGAATTTGTCTTTTGTTAATGGACTGATTTTAAAAGGATTAAGGATATTTATTCCAAAACCTTTAAGAAATGAGATTTTATCCCAGATACATAGTGGACATCTAGGAGTAAATAAGTATCTGGCTCGTTCAAGGGACACAGTTTGGTGGCCTGGACTATCGGTGGATATAAAGAGAATGGTTGAGAACTGCTCTAGTTGCTTGGAGAATCGGGTTAATCCTGCCGAACCACTGATCATGTCTGTGGTTCCTAATCAACCCTGGGAAGTTGTTGGGACAGATTTATTCGTGTATAATAGAAGAGTATATATTTGCATGCAAGACTATTTTTCAAAATATATTGAATTGTTGTCATTGGCCAGT